AAAATACAAATTACATTCTATCCAAAGTAAATAGTGAAAGGGAGAAAGTCTCTTTATCTTGCTTAAAATTCCTCTCCAATCAGGACCAATTAAGTAAGAAAACAAAACAGAATTCACACAGTTCCCATATCCACATTCCAATATCAGAAACCCAAGCTCAGATTCACCAAAAAAAATTAAAAATCCTTTACTCTTGTTTCTTAAAAATTAATAAAAAGTCCAAGCCTTTGCCTTTTTTGCTGAGTATGCAAAACTATTTATCCTAATAAAAAAAAGAATGTTAATCTTTCCATGAAGCACCTATAGTAGCCAACAGGAAAAAATACACTGTAACTAAAGAAAGCCTCTCTTTAACCCTATAGAAGTAAAAAACAAAACAAAACAAAAAGGTGATTTTGGAAATGGGAAGGTCACCGCAAGTGTCCATCCCCCCCGCCCCCGGCTTCTTCACAGCTTGGAACTTGCTGGTAACCCCACCTCCCAGCTGATCACTCACCAGTTGATCCTGAAAGTCTCCATTTCGAGGTCTTCTGGCTGTGAAAGGATGTCTGGAGGTCACATGAAACAATTTCTAGGATTCTCCTTGGATCCGGAGAATTCTTCAGGCTCCAGGAGCCTGCCTGAGCCTAAAAAAGTCTGTGAAGACGACTCTCTGCTTGAAATGGAGAGCCTAGCACATGGCCATTACTCACCGGAAGTCACCAGTCAGCAACATTCTGAGCAGCTAGCCAATGGCTTTTTTCATAGGAATCCATTGGGAATTATTTTCTCGATTTTTTTTCTCCAGAACCCCAAGTTGTGGAAATCTTTTTTTAGCAGGTTTCCCCCACCCCACACACACACCAAATTAATCTCAGATGTATTCAGATGGAGTCAGAATACTTTATGGTATCCTTCCACTATTCCGCTGGATTAGAAAGTTAAAAAGGAATAAAGTAAGAAAAAAAAACACACAGAGAGAAAACACAAAAACAAGCATAAAAAAATTAAAAGGGGAACAATAGAAAGTATATTACGTATTAAAAAAAAACAGCCCAATTTTTAAAACTATCATTACATTTTATTGGGCTTTTAGTTTGTGAAGCTGCCCAGAGTCATTTGGGAGCCAGGCGGCCCAGAAAAAAGACAAATAAATAAATAAACAAACATTGACAACGAGAAATAATATTGATTGTGCCTTCATTATATCGATAGATAACCAGTTCATAAACGGAAGGTTAGCACACACTGTCAATCCAAGATTGTAAAAGTGGAGTTGCACTGCCTTTCCAACAAGAGTAATATTTTTGTGACACACGCACACACATGAATTCCATAAATCTATAATGCTTGATATAGTGATAAGTTCCAAGTTTTTGGCATATAATTCAAGAGGGCATTCACATCCTTTAAACATATTGATCTTCATAACACATGCATTTTAAACCAAAAATGGGCAATAGTGTCACACAGCTATATCATATGAGTAACTCACCCATTTTACATTTTTAACATAGATTAACAGTCCATTGTAAACATTCTCTGGAGTGTCCAGTAAGCATGAAAAACATGATATAGTCTCATCTACATTAGTCTCATCTTAAGATCATAAGAAACGTATTTAATATTCTTGAAGACTCTCAGCCATTGTTTTGTTAATGTGGGATATTTATCTTTATTCCA